TGTGGAACCTCTAGCACTCTGGTCTCAAACTATCAAACATGTATAGCAAATTAATGTTTGCAGCATGTTTGAAAATCACAAAGCATTCTAAATGCCCTCTAGTGGTCAGTTTGGGAGATGCAGCTAAGAGGACATGTACATCTATAATACCATATCAAATGGGAACTTGAGAAGGTTACCCATAAATGTCATTGATGTTAGTAGGCGAGGCCATGACAAATGAATTTACTATGTTTCAATAGAAGCATTCAGAAATGATTTGTTTGTTTATGGCGTCACATCTATTACTACCACTATTTGACAAATTGGGTCTTACTACTCAGCCAGTTGACCACCCTGCAACTAAATATAATGGTACCAGTATTGGTAGCTGATATATTACCAACAAACAACACTGCTATGTGGGAAGGTATACCTTTGCTCAGCACCACTCCCAACAACAAATTAATGCACCAAGGTGGAACGTTGCCAAGGAACCCAGTGAAAGTGAATGTGATACAGGCAGAGGTATCGTTCCTATGAGCCAAGAATGTATGATGGCCTTGGACCTTGAGGAAGCAAACCGACATGTACACATGCCACCACACCCTGCAAGCCAACCTCTGTTGAGATTTGCGGTAGAAGAAATGGCGTACTAGAACTTCTGTTCAGCATCTGCTCTGCATAACTGGTGGATCTCCAGACCCATGAAAGAGCAGAAGGCAGTCCTATGAACGTTTCTGCCCCACATCGGAAACATACAAGTATTAGTGAAGTGCAACAATGTCTTGACAAGCAGGGGAGCACAAGGTAACGACTCTTCGACAGTCTGATAGTGTAAATTCTGGTGTACAATGTATAACATCACCTTAGAGTGCAAGCACGACCCACAACACCATAACTGATTTGGGCATAGATTGGTAGATCAATCATCAGATTGCAACTAATCTGTTGAGAATCTTTGGCCAATACCATATATTGATCTCTTTGCCTCGCTGCTGAACTGACCGGTGTTTGTGTCGCATACCCCTTTCCAGCACTGGCATGGGAAAGCAATGTCCATCAGCTGAGACAACATCGATGCATACGAATTCTCCCCGCTGCTGATATTATTGACATGTTAAAAGACACATGGCTCTATCTAACTACATAAAAATTACACCGCCATTCAGACAAGGATGGACACCCCTTCTTCACTACTAATAGATGAGTAGAGGAGAATACCTGACGACTCAGGATTACTGCCAGTTCCCCTGTCTAACATGTCTTCATCGCTGGAGCTCTTCCACATGTATACACACACTCACATCAGCACGAGGTTTTGAAGAAGGACCAGCAAGTACCAGTCCCTCAGAGTTGGTACTACCCGGTCATACCAGAGCCACTGACGGTACTATCATGTTTGTTTACAACACCAAACACAGTTTGGGTAGGGACATCATTGACAAAGATGCCATTAAAACACTGTTCAAAGGGCTGTGGTACCACCAAGATTGGCTACACCATGTTGGTCTTTGTCATTAGTGCATTAGTGCAAGCTCCCTACAAGCCCCAATATGCAGTGTCACTTGCAGATTGGTCAAGGAAGACCTTATCCTGGTTATGAGCTCTATCTTTTGTAGTCACCACATGGACAAATCACCTCTTTAACGCCACAAACCAAAGACACAAGAACTGACCTCCCCTATTTGCATCACATGGTTGAATTTGGCTTCCAGTACAACAGGGGGAAGCAGATCCTGTGCCCAGTGCACATGCTCTGGCATCCAGGGGTACCACACTTCAGAGATAGATCAGCTTTGCATACTTGAAAAGCGGATGCCTCACATGGGATATTACAGTCAAGATGTGTGATCAGAGAGGTTGAGCTAAGTGTTTGTGATGGTGCAGCATGGACCGTGCCTGGCATTTTTTATTGCCATCAGGTACATTTTTAAGACGAGTATATACAACATGCATGTTACATGTATTAAGGGTGGCCGCAGCACATACTTTTGACACAGGAATTTGAAGTCTGAAGAACAAACTTGATGCCAGGAGTGATCTAAAATTGGAAAAGTGCACCAAAAATCAAAAAGAAAAATTATGTAGGATCATACACCCATCGTACACCAAAATAGGATAACCCTTCCGCCCTGACCCCACCCAGCACAAAAAATTCATTCATGTTGACGAGTTTTGTATTAGAAAACTCTTAATTATTCCAATGAAGTGAATTTAGTTGAAATCCATAGTGTTTTTTCAAATTAGATTGAAATAAAAAAAAATATATATGCAAATTAGCTACTAAATATGCATGAATATGGCAAACACTAATATCTACACACTTCTCCCATATGCCAAAAAATCTAAATCTGCTCAGAGATTTTGTTTATACAAACGCACCAAACTGACTCCCATGTGTATTTTGAAGATAAGGGGTACAAATGTAAGTTTGGTGACCTTTGTCTCCATTTTCTTCCCAAGTATTCCACATACACAGAAATGCAGCACATTCTAGCAAAAATTAACAATTTTATTCGCAAAAAATATCTTAAGAACATTGTAATGAACAACACTAATAGCAAGCATATAATCTATTGTAGTATTTATGGCCAAGGTTGTGACGGCAATAGTTTAGGTTGTTTCATTCATAAAATAAAAATACCTTTAGCATAACACTATTTACAATATAAAATAACATCTAGGCTTTATACAATTTTTTTTCCACTCAACAAGACTACACATGATCAGCAATTAAAATATCAACAACAATTGTAAATGTTCTCAAGTTGGAAATTAAAGAAAAAATGTCACGTGAATACTGGCAATATATTATGTGACAAGTTGACATTGACAACAAGATTTTGACTATATATTTAAGTTATAAGATTGGCACAATAATAAAAGAGGATCACAGCTGATAATCTCGGCTTGACCC